CTAGTACCAAGGGCAGAATTGAATCTTGATTAAGAACAAGAATATTAGATAAACTGGTTACTCATGTGAATAGTTGTGTCTATATTGCCCTGTGATGGACTTGCAACCTGTCCAGGGTGTACCCCGCCCCTCACACTGTGACTGCTGGATGTGGGCACCATTGACCTCCGTGAGCCTGAAAAGAAGAAGCGGATACTGATAATGGATGGATTATCATTATTAATATTATTTTAGAATCTTTGTCTTTTTAATTTTTTTTAATGTGGCTTATATGTCTTTGGGTCCTTAATACACAAATTATGAAGTGTTCTTTACACACAAAAATTTCTTGAAACATTTTGATGCTGAACTGTAGGTCCAAGCGATTAATTTGCACCACTCACTTGTACAACTTTTTGTTTTTTCTTTCCCCACTTTTGTTAGATATGTTGCTGACATCAAATTTAAAATGACCTGACCTTTTTTATAATGGTGCCTTTTGCTAGTTTTAACTTTTATATGTTTACTGTTCCATTGTAAATAAAATGTGTTTTTGAGATTTGGAGATCATTGTATTCAGTTTTTTATTTCATTTTACTCGATCTACTTCTATCTGAGAGACTGTTTGGATAAAAATCTTTAGATTTTCCTGTGATTTTTAATCAGAAGTTGTATAAATTACACAATTTCCTGCGAATAAACTGTTCTGTTCAATCCATTTTAGTCAGCTGTCAAGAAAACAGAGAAACAGGAAAAAATCGTGCCATTCTGACTTACGTATACTTCGTTTCAAAGGGTTATTCAAACAGAAAAGGTATTGGGAGGGAAAAATAGAATAACATTTGACACAAATCAATCCTCAGACAGCAGGCACAAGGTCTAAAATACACCCATGCTCTGAGGGCTGATAACCGAGCACTTAACGGCTAATGGCACAAGACTATTCATGCATGAAAACTCTCTGCTGCCAGACAGAATCAGAAAAGAAGATGTGAAACCTGGAAATGTGAAAATCTCCACAGCAGAATACAGGATTTATTAAAGGTAAGCACTTCTTAAATTTGAGAAGATCAAGAAACTTACTGTGTGGTTGCATATTTGTACATTATAAGCTGTGGACAAAAGAATAAAAATAGATAAAATAAAAAAAATTCTGAATGCAGTGTTTCTTTCTCTTAACTCTTTTGTGGGATGTGAAAATGGCTGAATTTAAATGTTGTTGTTTTTTACCAATGCCCCATAAATTTTCTCTGCTGAAATTATGCCGGAGTCTTGTTCTGTTCATGCCTTTTGTTTTGTGCTGAATAAATGCCACTACAGCAATAAAATATAGAAAGATTTTTACATTTCTTCATTTCTTAATATAATTTGTAAATAAAATGAATTTGTGAAGGTGAACAAAGAACACAGATGTGTTACTTTAAGCATATTAAAGTTTTTTGATGAAAGGTTTTTTATTATAATTTCAAAAATACATTATAACAAGGCATAATACACATACAAAGATATTCAGTTTAACATAAAACTGAGCAGAAATTTGAGATATAGAACAATGTAAGAAAGAGAAAAAGAAAGCAATAACAGAACATGCTTAGTAATTAAATACAACAAACATCATCACAAGAGGACTTTTAGTTATTTAGTTATATCATCGATGTATTGGTGAATAATTGGGCTTTATAATTGTTACAGCATGCCAGAACTTCCTTAAATAAAACTACTTCCTTTAGATAAAACTACTTCGTTTAGATAAATGTTAAATAATAGGGTGATTTTTTTAAAACCGGCCTTTATGTATAAAAAATGTAGCTAAAAATATTAAATTGTTATTAGCCTATTAAAGTAATGTGTCAATAATCAATATGAGCAGACAGGAAGAATGTTGGTTAGCGCGCCCCCTCGTGTCCAAACGACGGTAGTTCTCCATTGCCGAACAGCAGAGCGACACGCGCGGCACGCAGCCCGCCACTTAGCAGCAGCTGCCTGGGCGGAAAAGGCGGGCGAAGGTTGCCGCTTCCGCGTCCGCGCAACACGCAGAAACACAAAAACACACGGGGGGCAAAATGGACGATAAGTTAATACTGGCTGTTTTTAACTACCCAGAGCTTTATAACGTGACTCTGCCGAATTACCGCTGCACGGAAAGTCGCGCGAATGCTTGGAGAAATATCAGTCTCTCGCTGGGGCTACCATGTGAGTATTTGTTTATCACAACTTTACTGCTAGTTAATCTACGCTTGGGCGCTGTTGGCTTTCGCAGCTAGTCGATCTCGTTATGTTAGATCGTAATATTTAATAGTAGTTTGGAGATATGCACTTTTTATAGTTCTTTGTCCGCTTTCAAACATCCCAGTGCCGTCGATGCGGCCGCGCGCGCCGTGCTAGCGGTAGTAGCCGCTGCTCGCAGTACGAAGGCCGCGTTGAACGACGTTACCGCGGAGCTAGCCGCGGAAAACGTGCTCAGGAGTCATTTTTAAGACCGGGAACCCAGAGAAACAAGGCTCCTGTGGGGGTCTACATAAATGTGGTCTCATGTTTTTAGATTTAAACATGGCAGAGCAAGAAGAGCCCCCCCGCCTCATAATAAACCGAGGAATGAGCACGTGACCAAAGAAGTGGATACTGACAGGACCCAACCAAACTGATAAACTGGTGGAATGAACATTACATAGTTTGGGGTTAATAAAATAGTTTTAAATTAAATTAATATTTTGTACATTTATTTTCCCGAACAGATATAAACCCAGAAAACTTCAGAAAACTACCCAGTTTACATAATAATCTAAAAATTTTCAATATAAATTACACAAGTCTTTTGATGATTTTAGTTTATTCTAATATGTCTTCTGTATTTAACAAAATACATTATGTATTGTAAAAAATAAAAAAACAAACGTATGATTTATTTACAAAATGGCTCATAGTTTGTTCAACAACTAAATATTTATCTATTAGATAAATACAAAAATTGCTTTCATTTAAATGTCCATCAGTTTTTCTTTACCCACTTTTTCCTTTCTGGGTTGCTGCTGCATTTTAACTCCAAACAACTATATTCATCCCAATTGTATTTGTTTATAGCTGTAGCACAGTCAATGCAAATTGACATAAAAAGGTGCATAAAAGAAAAAAAAACCCTGGTGTGCTGAGGTTTTAAATCTGTCAAGTTAAGCTTGTTTTGCTCATTCAGATGTTTGTCCAGCCACATGCCACAAGGAATCCGATTTAGCTTGTAGTTTGTGGCCAACAGGAGCAAACGTTTTGTTTACAGAGCAGGAATTTGTTTAGCCTGCTTAGATAAACTGTGTTATCACTTTTAGGTAACCCAACAAGTTTTAGGAGCTCATCTAAGTTTTTTTTCCCACCAACCAAGTATTAGAGCAGTTGAAATGTTTTGTAAATGTGTTTAATGTCATGGTCTTTATTCTAGCACATTTTGTGTGTTGTGACATACTGTTTGTACTCGTTTCTTTTCAAGCTGAAGCCTGCAAAAGAAGATGGAAAAACCTGAGAGACAGATACCTGAAGGAAGTTCGGACAGAGCTTAAAAGCAAGAAGCAGGGAGAAATGGTACAGAGCAAGTGGAAATACCGTCAGCTTATGAACTTTATCGCCCCCTTCACCGGATCAAGATATGGCGCGACGGATGTTTGCAGCAACGCCGAGGATGACCGCGACAGTCCTGACGTAACTGGAAGTGCGGAACAGGAAACCACACTGTCGGACATCGTCAGGACGCCTCAGGATGCCCCAAAGGTTGAAGGGAGTCTGCCTGAGACAAAGGCCCAGGTGGCGTTTGTAACTCAGCTTCCTGCTCTGGCCCAGGACACTCAGCTGGCCCAGCTGGCTGTGGTGGCCAGGACGCCGCCAGGCCCACAGATATTCCCCGCCAGCAACACCGGACAGAAACGGAAAATCGTGTCCGAGCCGTCATCCCCGTCGTCCCCTCAGAGCACACACTCGCCCACGAAATGGCTGGTCAAAGACAACTGCGCCTCGTTTGCCTCCAGGCCCCGGGACGAGGACGAGCTGTTCCTGCTGAGCTTCGTTCCCGCCATGAAGCGACTCGCTCCGCAAAAGAGATGCGAGACCAAAATGAAGATTCAGCAGTTAATGTACGAGGCGGAATTCAACGTCTCGTCTGCAGAATCGGCAGAAAAAAGGACGGCTCAAGGACAACAAGATTAATGTTTTTGCAGCCTATACGCCCCCCCCACCACACAAAGTGACGGCGCTTAAGCCTGAACTATTTTTCATGCATTTTGGCTTGTGACAGATCTTTGCAGCAGTAAAAACTATAAATTTACACAGAAAACAAACAATAATTGTGATTTATAAAGTTTTACTGTCAGTAAAGGAAATTCACATTTAGAAAAGTACCATTTCAAACAATCCATCATAAATTTACTTGTTTAATCTACAGTATTTTACATTATTACTGTGAAATACAGAAACCAGAACAAAATAAAACATACAGTCTGGTGAGGAACACTGAAGTGAAGCTTTTTATCCGCTTACACGCAGGAAACTTTTTAAATATCTGAGCTAAGATGTTTAACATTGCTGTGACAGCTAAAAACATCAGTATCACTTGAATCATGTCTGCTTGCATATGTGATTTGAAAACTTAAAAAAAAATCAAGTCTTGGCATCTTAAAAAGTTTTGCTGAAACATTACTCCAGTTTGACAGGTTTAGATTTACAGTCCATGTGTGAGCTCAAAAACAAATAAATGGTACAACCCCTGCTTATAATTCACAATTGGATTATAAGCTTTGTTAGCAAAAAGGGTTAGCTTTACGGCTTATTTTATAGAGCAACTCCAGAGACATCAGTGATGCAACATGAGTTAATATGGGGGGCGATTCGGTAACAATCCACAGTAAATAAGAGCCTTGCAACCTTAAAAAGTGTAGATTACACAGTTTATGACTGTCTGTCACGTGTGTGACGTATGAAGCAGCAAAAACTTTTTCTCTTTTAAATCATTTCTGCTTTGTTTACATGTCAGAAGTCGTTTTCGAGGAGAGAAAGACAAAAACCACCATAAAGTCCCACCTCTATCCAGTCTTTGTTAAACTCTGTTCTCTTTCCAATCAATTAGGCAATCAGCAGCCAAAACATAATCGCCAGCGCAACAAACAGGAAGAGTCGAGACAGAAACTGTTCATCCGTGTGCTGCGGAGTCCCCGGGGCCGCTGTGTGGGCGACATAAAGATTACTGGGTAGGTCATTGCCAAAAGAAATAAAAGAATTCAGAGCAAAATGTGTAAGTACCCGGAGGGGGTCGTCCGTCGTTGATGTTAAAAGCTGTGGCGAAAATACCAAATGGGAAGGCACCGATTCCAAATGACATCTGGAAACCCCCATCTCCAAAACCAAACCCCTGAAAACCCTGCAAAATGTTGTTGAAATACAAAACAATGGTGTGTTATTCCATAAAGTAAGAAAAATGTGACGCAACAGTTGGTAAAAGTTGTGATTCTCATGAGAAGAGCTTCATCATCTCAGCTGTTAACAGGTAATGGATCCCAGAGGGACGAGTCTTTTTAGTAATGAATGAAACCGGGCCGCACTGCAGCGCCTGCATCCTCGTGTAATGGTTTCATCATGGCCGTATCGTATTCACCTACAGCTGACATGACGTGTGTGGAAACGTTATGATGTAATCACAGATTTACTCGTTCATGTACTTACGCCACGGTTTTCTGGTTCAGGTCTCTGTCCTTGTGGTCGAGGGGGGGTTCTTTCCCTTTAAAACAAATTATTTCAGAGAGCTGAACGGTTTGTAAACCTGAACATTTTTACAGTTTGAAGCTGAAGTTGGAGCTTTCTGTGTCAACACTCTAAAGCACCTACCTTGGATCCTGCTGACCCGTGCTCCCCCTCCCATATAAGGGGATTACTTTTTCTCGGCTGATTCCAGCTTTGCATACCGGACACACTTGTCTGTTGGGTCGAGTCTCCAACCACTGAATTAGAACAAAAAGGAAAACAGTTAGGCAGCTAACCATTTCATCTATATTAATTTACTATTTTTGTAAAAACAAACAAAAGCGTACCTGATGCAAACAAGGCCAACTAAATGAAGAGTAGAAGATCATGAAAGGGGAAAAAAAAGATTTGATTAAACATGCAGTGTCCTCAAACCACCCAATAAACATAATATCCATAAAAACATCAATTAAATAATATACATGTGAAACAAGTCTCAGATTTTCTGTTTAACTTCTGTTTTAAAACTTTCATGTACAGTATATTCTTGAGCTATGACAGTACATTAACCTAAGCAATACATTTTAATACAAATACTGTATTTGAAAACATTTAGGAGAGAAGAAAATGATTTTGTATGACTTATCTGACGATTTCCTTGAAAAATTAAGGTATGTTTTTGTACACAAACGTACAAAATACTTCTAAAATGGGTTTCTTTGTAACAAACTTATTTTTTCCAGTAAACAATTAGTTACATTTGGACATAAAATCACTTAACGTTACTCCAACTCAACCCAATATATGAGCAAAACCACAGTTATTTAAAATTTATACATGATTAATGATAATGTATAGCTTAAAATATGTAATTAGTGATAGTGAAGTGTTCAAGTGTAATTTTTAAACTACAATGACTTCTCGGATCTTTACAGTAAGTAGGATAATTAGTTAACTTGTTCAGTAAAAGCATTCAGTGATCAGTTTAGAAGCACGGGAGTCACAGAACTAAATCTTACCAGAAAAGGTGCCCACACAGGCTGATCACGGCGTCCTTGGCTGTGTCCAGGCAGATATTGCACTCGAAGGTGCTGTCCTGTGTGCCACCTTCGGCCGCGGTCGAGCTGCTGGATCCACCGGGGCTCGAGTTTTCAGCGGACGCTGTAGGAGAGCCAGAGGCTGGGGGAGACGGGGCAGCGGCGGCCATTTAATAATACTCGATTCACTAACCGAGAGAATACAGATGGGGTGCACACATAAGAACGTCCAGGTGACAGGACTGGTCTCGAACAAAGAGAAACGAAAAGGTAAGAAATTAATATTACAGGCTGCTAGCTAAAACTGGTAAACCATCGGCCCGGGGAGAAGGTAGCTAGCTATGCTAACGTTAGCAGGCGAACAATAAGACAGTTTTACAAAAGGAAGGATAAACCGACAACAAAGATACAAATACAGCGGTCAAAGTGATAATTCAGCGTCCATATAATAACATAATTTGATGACAACCTAAATTATAACTTGTTGAGAAGTTCAACGCATATTCTTACAGCTGGTTGCATCACATCCGCTACTTGTACCATTCGACAATTTTCAGAGAAGAGGCGTGGTTAGTTCGCACAATGGGCGTGGTCTTTCTATATTTCTATATACCCTGTTTTTAGTGAGTTAGGAACATGATATACATAAAGACGAAAGGTTTCATTAAAGAAGAACCCGCCCAGAGGACCTACTTAATTTTTATTTTTGATTTAACAGAGTTATTACAAAAGTTTACATACACAAACCAGTAATATCACAAGTTTCTGTTGCTGTTATTTTATAGGCCAGAAGCTAAAAAGTTTGAAAACCACTGCTTCAGATTGTGTTTAAATTCACAAATGACAAAAATAGTTGATTAAAATGATTTCCTTACAAGAGTCCTTAATGTACAATTGAAACACATGCTCCAAAACAGCTTAAACACGAAGGTTTTGCTTATAATGTAGTATAAAATATACAGGATTTAAACAAAGTGGTCAGTTCACAGTGATGGAAAGAGTTCTCATAAGTATCTAATGGGGTAAACTTTTACTGTCATATCGTCATGGTCACAAACATTTACAGTGATTTTTATTTATGAGAAAATGCTACTTGGCATTAATTACACATGCATCAACTTTATTTTGAATTATTTCCATTGATTTAGACGTTGAGTGATTGAAACCACCTGTGCGAAAGTCCTCTGCCATGGCTTCTTCAAATCTTGATGTTAACGACCTTTTAAGTGTTCGCTTGAAGTCGTTGCCTATGAAGACATAAAGAATGGGGGATAAAAAGCTGTTTGCTGCAGCCAGTGTGACCCCTACTTTTAGTCCAGTTTGAAGTACTTCCACGCTGTGGTTCCCCAGGTCCAGCTCCAGTAGAATGAAGGTATGATATGGGACCCAACAGAAAAAAAATGCCGTTATGAGCGCTGCCATGATTTTGTAAGGCTTTTTTGACCTGATGGTTGACCTTCTCAGCTTCACACCGAGCACCACGCAGCAGAACACGATGGTAAGGAAAGGAATCAGAAATCCGCAGATGAATCGACTCAGGTGCACAGCCTTGTGTCTGGAGTGGTTCATGTAGTCTGTGTGACACTGAGTGACCGAACCGTGGAGTGTGGTTTTTCTGAAGATCATCGAGGGCAGCGTTAGAAGCGCAGAGAGGAGCCACATCAGAGCAACCGCTCCGCACGCTTTCTTCACCGTCCGATGGTTAGTTGCCCACACAGGGAATGATATTAAGACGCAGCGATCGGCACTGATTAAAACCAGCAGGAACACACTGCTGTGCATGTTGAGAAACAGAGCAGAAGAGGTGAACTTGCACAAGACTTCCCCAAAAGGCCAATGGGATGTTATCATGTAGTATATATCGAGAGGCAAAAATATACAGAATAGCAGGTTTGAAATAGCCAGACTCATGTACCAGGTGGTGATGACCGTTCTTTTCATTTTCCATCCACAGATCCAGATCACCACCGAGTTTCCTCCAAGACCAACAACTGATATGATGACATCGACTGTCACGAGAACATAAACCAGGGAGGACTGAGAACTACTAGAACTTTCATGTACTCCGGTGTTTGGCTCCTCGGTTATGTTGCTGGCAGTGTAGTCATCAAAATCAATGTAATCCACTCCCATTCTTACTTTTCTGGATTAAAAAGAGGAACAGCACAATATGATTCATAAGCATTTATGTTTTAGACAAAAGACAACAAAAGATTAAACAGTACTCACTTTATGTCTCTGTATGAAAGCAATCGTCACAAACTGCCTTTCGTAGATTTTTGGTAAACCTTCATCAGGGTGCAACTTCTCACTTCTCCTTCCTGCAATGTGTTACTTAATATGTTGATGTAAGTGTGAAATTTGGACACAAAGGTTAAAAGAAGAGCAAATATTTCGTGTCAGCCCAAAACCAAAAAAAATCCCACAATAGGAACAAGGGCAAATATTTGTTAACGTGATTTCCAAGTCTTTCAATAAAAGTTTCAAATTTTTTCGTGGAGACTGGACAGGTAGACCCAACACTGAACAAAAAATACACAACTTTAAATAGTGATAGTGTGAACCACGAAACATAAACCACTTTGTCAGACTTTCATATGTAAAAACAGGAAGTAAATTTTTTAAGTTCCACTTTAATGTGCTTGACATGACCAATTTTATTGCAGAGATAAGCAGTTATGCTTTTTAAAAGCTATGTTATTATTGTTAAGTTCCATTTTTTGTTTTGTTTGATTTGAATTTTAAAGGTTGGTGACAACGGTGCTTCATTGGTGGTATTGATTCTAAGGTGTGGACTAAACATATACAAACACACTTGTATCTACAGTATACCAATTACGTTTACTGAAGGAAGTGAACAGATGGGTGGGTAAAACAGAAAATCGGAAGTATCTACAAAACTGAATTACTACAAAAAAGAATTACACACACTACAAAGCAAAAGAACATGATCAAGAATAAAAAGGTCAAACTCAGGGTCGGCACAAGACGATTTGGTGCCATAGGTAAGATTTCAGGTTGCACCCCTTGTCCAATTTTCTAAATCTTATATACCAAATTAAATAGTTTTGTCTTTGACATTTTTTATCTTTAGAAACCAGTTTTTTCAATTGAAATTTATTTGAAATTCATTTGAATCAGAATACCAGAAGTCTTTCTTGCAACATTACAGGGGAGTCCAGGGGTTTACTACCGTGGAAAACTTTGTCAAATGTCTACTCAAAACCATGTATTTTCTAGCTATTTGAAGAAAATTTTAATAAATTCTACAGACTAAATAAACTCATAAAAAATTATATAAAATTTTTTTTTCATCCCCAACTGCGGCACCCCCTAGATGGACGGCACTACACTGCCAATGCCACGGGCTGGCCCTACAAAAACTACAACACAAAACCCTAAAGATTATAATTCAGTCAAAAATAAAATGAGCAAAAATGATTAACTTTTAAAGACTGTAATATTCATATAAAGAATTTGATTAATTTAATATATATCAATTTGCAAATTAACACTGATTACATACTCATGCACTGGCAATAATAATTATTAGATGTGCAGAACTTTAAGGCACAGTTTTGAATATAGGTGTTTTTTATGGTGCTCAATTTTGGAACTTGCAGCAATAAAGTCCTGGGTTCAAACCCCGGGTTGGGTCAGGGATCTTTAGATAATTTTGCTTTTGTCCAAGCAATGTCTACAGCGTTAGTTATATTCTGTTAAATGTAGTAATTATAACTATTTTAACACATTTAGGAAGTTGAATGTCAAATTTGAGTGATCATGATTTAATTACACTCACTTGGATTGAATTCGAGTTATACTGTATTTAATTAAAACAATTATTTTGTCTGACATAAAATAATTAAACTGAATATATATTAAAGTATGTAATAAATGTAATGCAGTCTAATAGATTATTTTTGTTTCTATTGTTTATAAAATACCGAGCATGCGCAGTCGTGACTGGTTTGTCCCCGCCCCCTTACGGTCTGCTCCAAGCTGTCCGCTTTTTGCTGCTGCGCCATTAGGTCAACATGGCGGCGACTGTTGCGAAGAAATGTGTCAGTCCTCTGGCTTTGCTCACCAGGAGGCTTTCAGCCCCGGAGTTCATCACCCAGTGCTGCTACCACCAGAAGGTAAAACATCCCGTCTGATTGTAGCCAGTAAATCCTGTCTTTAAAGCTAAAAAGCCTCAGTAATAAATATAGCTGATAATCGGCTAACGTTGTTTACAATAGTGCAGTTGCAGAGATAACCAGGGGCAAAGGAGCTTACATGTGTTTTCTTTATGATAAATGTCTCCAGTCAAGGTTTGTGTTGAACAGATAAACAGTGCTATGAGAAGAAGGCAATAGTGAATATATATTATTTATATTTGCTTCATATTACTAGTTACTTAAGCTGGAGACGAGTGACGTCACTATCTTTCCTTCCAGCTTCCACAGTTTACTTGAGATCCAATTAACTACAGGAGCACAGTCAGTGTGCTACAAACAGGTTTATTACGCAATACTTGGATTATAATATCTTTGTGAAGCTTTATTGTACTTCATCATAGTAACAGTATCACTGTGTAGATGTTCAACCAACCTGTGCAACCATTTTGTACTATTTTTATTGACTAGTGCTTTGAGATGTTCATCAAAAACAGGATAAATTGAAGTTTTGTCATTTTGTTATGTTGCATCACTCTACCGTGGAGATCAAAAAGAAAAAAAAAGGAAGGAAGGGCAGGTCTAATTAGTTATTGGACAAAATAAATCCGATTGTATTGAAGAATTGTGTAAGGAAGGAAATTAGAAGTTGCGTAACAAAGATTGTAAGATTTTTTTGGACAAATGTCGTCCTGAGGCACAAAGCAAAAAAAAAAAAAAAAACATTCCAGGAAGCTTCTGTCATTCCAAGTCACATGGGGGCATTTGTGATGCTCTTTTGTTTTTTGTTCAAAGGTGGTGGATCACTATGAGAACCCAAGAAATGTGGGCTCACTGGACAAAGGCTCCAAAAATGTTGGAACTGGTTTGGTTGGAGCGCCAGCTTGTGGAGATGTAATGAAACTTCAGGTACGCTTATTCTTATGTTGTAGTCATTAGGGCTAATGTATAAGTTACGTTTCTTTTAGTCGAATAAAGTACAGGTAAGTTTACTTTCATTAAAAATAGCAGCTGTTTTTTTCTATGCACTGTTAGAAATGAAATGGTTATGTGTTTTTTTTTTTGTCTAGTACTTTTATGTTATTGTTCCTAATAAAAGTACAAACCTTTGGACAGATTAAGGTTGATGACCAGGGGAAGATCATTGATGCCAAGTTCAAAACGTTTGGCTGCGGCTCTGCCATCGCTTCCAGCTCTCTGGCCACTGAGTGGGTGAAAGGCAAAACTGTGAGTGAACCCTTCTGCCTGCAGCATTTGTAGGGCTGATTGCAATTTTTTTTTCTGACCCGGCGATTTATACTGCGAAATGAAAAAAAATACAGGAATTTTCACACTTTAATCTTGCGTCTTGTTGACTGCACTGATTTTACCTCTTTCTTCTTGTGTGTGTGTTACAAGTATGTTTTTGTTTGTATTTGAGAGTTATTCTTCTTTTATTTGCTTTTTATTATTCTGGGACCTGCTGAGTTCGTGTTTTATTCTGTCACGTGCAAACGTGAATTGCATTTTATCGCTGTCTTAGTTTGTTTTCTTCACGCTTTAAAATTAGCATTCATGCTAATCATATTTTCTCGCGTTTGCTCCAGTTCTTTGCACATATGCTCGTCTTCTTTGTTTTCGTCAGGATCCTTGTCATCTTCCTCCACAGCTCGAGAATTCACCAGCATCACTTTTCTGGAAAAAACAACCCCCCCC